GAGCAGAAGGGGGCCCTGTTGCAATATGTACGAAGCTTGGTTGGGTACTGCAAGGCCCAATGTGTCCGATTCAGCCCCCTAAAGGCCAGCAACAATGCCTGCATCTAATGACAGCACCAGCACGTGACGAGTTGCATCAACATGTAGAGCGCTTGTGGCAGATTGATATCTTGCCATACAACAAAAAGCTGATCACAAGATCAAAGCAAGACCAACAATCCTACAAACTCCTACAGTCTGCTACGGTCAGAGTAGAAGTGAATAATGTCCTGCGGTATGCTACCCCGTTACTGAGGCGTACTCCTATCACCTTGCTCTATGCAGGCAAAGAGGCTGTGCTTCCCAGTCTCAGAAACATTGAGAGAAAACTGGCCAAGAATCCTGAACAAGCTCAAACCTACTGTTCGGAAATTCAAAAGCTTGAATCTGAAGGCTACATTGCCAAGATAACACCAGAGGAGGCAGACAAGTCCACGGAGTGGTGGTTCATTCCGCACCACATGGTGCATCATAATGGGAAGGACCGAATAGTCTTCAACTGTTCCTACCAATACCATGGTCAAAGCTTGAATGAACAACTCCTTCCGGGCCCAACACTGGGGCCATCTTTGCTGGGTGTCATACTGAGATTCAGACAACATGCAGTGGCAGTGAGTGGGGACATAAAAGGCATGTTCCACCAAGTACGTTTGTTACCTGGTGACAAGTCGGTGCTGCGATTCATCTGGAGGAACATGGATAGGGAAGCTGACCCAGGCATCTATGAGTGGCAGGTATTGCCCTTTGGTACGACCTGCAGTCCATGTTGCGCCATTTATGCCCTTCAGCTTCATGCCCAGGAACACCAAGATGCAATGGCTGGCTTAGCTGATATTGTGGACAACTCATTTTACGTTGACAACTGTCTTCACAGTACCCCCGACCAAGGTGAGGCTAGGGCCATTATAGATGGGTTGCGTCAATCTTTGCTAAAGGGAGGCTTCGAGATTAGACAATGGGCGTGTAATATACCATTAGTTCTCAAACACCTCCCATCGGAAGCCAGATCAGCTAGTAGTGAGTGCTGGTTGTCTCAGACTAGCACTGACATGCAAGAACCTACTCTCGGCCTACAATGGAATTGCCTCGATGACACCCTCGGGTACAAGAACCGCATTGCAGAGCCTGTTCAGCCCACTATGAGGAATCTGTACAAGACTTTGGCAAGCCAATTCGACCCCTTGGGTTTCATAGTGCCATTTACCACGAGGGCTAAAATTCTTATCCAGGATCTTTGGAAACATAACCTGAGCTGGGATGACCCTATCGAACCCATACACCTGCGAGAGATATGGTCCAAATGGGTTGCAGAGCTTTCTAGTATCACCAGACTGCAATTCCCTCGAACTTATGTGTCTGGTGGTGCTGATGCTCCTTCCACTGTTCGGGAGCTCCATGTCTTTTGTGACGCTTCCGAGAGGGTATATGGTTCTGTGGCCTACCTTCGTGTCACAGATGACAGTAAAAAGGTCCATGTTACCTTCGTCCTAGCTCGATCCAGAGTGGCTCCTCGTAAGTGTCTATCTATGCCCCGCTTAGAGTTGTGCGCTGCACTCTCTGGAGCTCAGATGGCGAAAGTGATACAGGCTGAACTGACCATTCCCATACACAAAGTCATATATTGGGCTGATTCAACTACGGTGCTGCATTGGTTAAAGTCGGAATCCTGCCGATACAAGGTCTTTGTGGGGTCGAGGGTAGCAGAGATTCAGACTTTAACAGATGTCACCCAATGGAGGTATGTGGACTCTGCTCGGAACCCAGCTGACCATATCACTAGGGGTCTTACCTTAGACCAAATAGCAGGTCCTCACCAATGGAGATCTGGGCCATCTTTCCTGACTGAACCACAGGATATGTGGCCATTGACACCCAGTACGGAGTCCGTACCTGATCTGAGCGAGATGAAAACGGCATCCTTTGTCGGAGCAGTCACTGTCATTCCCAGTCCAGTGCCTTCAGACCTCAGTCAATTCAGAACCTGGAGCGAGCTAGTCCAAGCTACTGTTGAGTCCTGTAATGGGGCGGCCAACAACAACGTCTTTGAAGCCTCAATGTATACACAGGCAGAAAAGCTCCTATTAGTACAGTCACAGCATGATTCATTCCCGGAGGAATTCAGAGCTTTGAAAGTTGGAAAGCCTATCCCGACAGACAGCCGCTTGAGTTCTCTCGCCCCAGAATATGACGAAAATACTGGTCTTATCAGAGTGGGTGGACGACTTCGTCGGGTTGAATCCCTGCCTTTTGATATCATTCACCCGATCGTCCTAGATCCTCATCATCAGGTCACAAAGCTACTCATCCAAGACATAGATCAGCAACTACATCATCCAGGTGCAGAGCGAGTGCTAGCAGAGCTACGTCGTAGATACTGGGTGCTTAGAGGCCGTGAAGCTGTGCGCAAACACCAGTATTCTTGCCAGGATTGCCAGTTTTGGCGTGCTAAGCCGCAGAACCCACAGATGGCCGACCTTCCACCCTGTAGGCTTCGTCTGTTTAAGCCACCATTTTACTCCACTGGCGTAGACTGTTTCGGGCCCTTTCAGGTAAAGATAGGTCGGCGCCAGGAAAAGAGATGGGGAATTCTATACAAGTGTTTGACAACCAGATGTTTACATCTCGATCTCCTCGAGCACCTAGATACTGACGCCTTCCTCCTTTCTTTACGACGCTTTATAGCTCGTAGAGGAAAGCCTTTCGAGATTCTATGTGACAATGGCACTAATTTTACAGGAGGTAATCACGAGTTAAAGGACGCCTTTCGTCGAATGGCTCCTGAGCTGCAGGAACAACTAGCTAAACAGCAGATCCAGTTTCGCTATAACCCACCAAGTGCCCCTCATTTTGGCGGGACATGGGAGCGAGAGGTGAAATCAATTAAGACTGCCTTACGAGTCATTCTACGTGAACAATCCGTGCCTGAATCTGTTCTGCAAACATTGCTAGTGGAAGTTGAGGGCATCCTCAATTCCAAGCCCCTTGGCTATGTTTCATCGGACATTGCAGACCTTGATCCTGTGACTCCTAACCTACTACTCATGGGACGTCATGATGCTTCATTACCACAAGTTCTTTATGACTCCGACGAACTCTTGGGGAAACGCAGGTGGAGACACAGTCAGGTATTGGCCGACCAGTTCTGGACTGCTTTCATTCGCTGCTACTTACCCGAACTACAGGGTAGACAGAAATGGAGATCAGATGGCAAAGAGATGGCAGTGGGACAGGTGGTACTCGTAATTGACAATCAACTCCCACGAGCGCTATGGCCTGTGGGTATCGTGACCGAAACCTGCCCAGGGGCTGACGGGAGAATTCGAACAGCCAAAGTTCAAGTCAAAGGCAAGATCTACATGCGCCCTGTCGTGAAGCTGATTCCACTTCCTCCAATGAGGGATAATGATACAGACCCTCCAAACGGCCTTTCTTAAGGAATACAATTATCCTGACTGATAATTGGGGGCGGCTGTGTCTGACGGACTCTTATCATAGTTGCAACTTCCTGCAGGCTGATGCAAAAGCCAGTTCCAGCCTGATATCACTGTTTTCCCTGATATTGTGCAATGTTGTGCGTTCATGCAACAAATACCACTACATAACATGATTGCATCATATAACTCTCCTTACCATCCTGAGAGTGTATATGGATGTCACTTACTGCCTGACGAATATCATTAAAGAGAAGTTTGATGAAGATATACTTCTCCTGTGCCTGATTCTCTTACCGGAATCACTGTCCATATTCGTCCGCCTACAGAACTGTAAATTCTCAAACGTTGCTAGAGGTGCTACTCTGCAATACTCTATGATAAAAAATGTTTGTAAAAAATATTTTAATAACACGGTTTTGGCGGTTGTAGAGTTATAATGATGGTGTGTTCAAATACATAACATTAGACTAACGTTAGCCAGCTTATAGTATCTTGATTCAGTATGCTAGTATTTATTTGAGATATTGTTTTTTTATTAATTGAGCAGCAGAAAAAATATTCTTTATATTAGTCGTCCAATTAGTCATTAGATTAGTCGACTAATCGATAAAATAATCGCCCAACTAATCGTTTAGTTAATAATCGTTTACCCCAGCCCTACCGAGCCGTGACAAACCATGCAGTGGAAAAGCGCCAAAGCGCGCCGTACCAAAACGTGCCACAACGTACCATGCAGTGGAAAAGCGCCATTAGGTTAATGTGTTTAAGACACATAACTAATCTGAATATTATATATAATGCAGTCAAGGTCATGATATAACAGAAATTACAGTACATTTTATGCATTGCAGAGTGGCCAGGTGAAGCATTTTAACAGTAACCTCTAACTCTATTGACTCTAGAAATGTGCTTTCAGAACATAAAGAATGCAATTGATGAGTGCGCTAAACATGTGCCTGAATGCAGCACCAGTGTTAAGTGCACGAAGAGAGAACTCTTATTTTTGCTCGTCCCACAACAGCGCAGTTTTGCTGGTTGTAGTTTTGCAAAACAAGACATCTACTTCTACATCCACCAATGTTCAATTCCAACAGTTCTTTCCTCAACAAAAAATAGATTCAGAAGAAGGTGAGTTTAAAGGGTTTGTTTAGCCTGAAATCATTTTCTTAATCTTTTATGTGAAGCCTTTTTGTGATTCACACAAAAAACATATAGTTTTCAAAAATCACATGAGGTATTGCATGAACTATAGCTTTAATTGAAAACTGAGAACTACAGCAAGTATAATTTAATGCGTCACCTTACTATACTATGTAGATTTGGGATTACAGTACATATCCCATCTACTGTAGTTGCAACAAATGTTTGTGCAAATCAATAGATCAAATACTAGCCTATGAAAATATTGAAGAAAGAATACATGAGAAGGCTAATTTGTTGATGAAGCTATGAAATATGCCAGATTATCAACACTGTGACAGTGCAATTCCATGTAGACAGTTCATATAATGGTATGGAGAATGTTACCGTTCACTGGTGCAGCCACTGCTTGCTTGGGCACGAGTGTCATAACCGATCACCAGCCCTCTTGTTTTCAGGTCAGGGAAATATTTGGCTAAATAGTTGTACATCCCCTACAACAATGAAGAAAAGACAGACTCATAGTTATTAAAACAGAATGGACCATAAACAGCCTAAAACTTAAATAAATAAATATCAACCAACTAGACTTTCGGGTTTGTGTCCATAAACAATATTCCAGATAAATGCGCCCTTGGTCACTTGGACAATAACTAGCTTCCGTTTAAAAGAACCTTCCGGATTCCAAGTGTAAAACGCAACTTATGCAAGTAATGTGACGTACTGCTGATATTTATACTACGCCATGACGCACCACGCTACTTCATACATCACAAGCTGCGCATTAGGCACAAGTAGACACTGCTTTTGGCCGGAAGCTAGAATTTAATCTGCGTCGCTATTTTGTACTCGTTGTGAATACGCAGGGAACAAGAAGTAATTACGTGGGTTTGTTTACTTTTTTTAATCACTTTTACTCAGGACATGCTAGCTGGCAACAAAGGAATCCATTCATTGTGCTAAGCTAAGCTAGCGCCGACCCTGTCAAACTAAAACAATGCATGCACTGAGACAAAAATGCATTTGCACACATATCTAAATGTAGGAAAGAATGTGAATAAGCCATATTTCAATTTCGTTTTCCTTTAACATTGTAACGTGTTAAATATGAATATTTTTCTTACACAAACTCATCGCTTTGCCATTAACTGCCATTATAAAGCTTGGAAGAGCCAGGACATTGTTTAATATAACTCTGATTGTATTCGTCTGAAAGAAGAAAGTCATACACACCTAGAATAACTAAGTAAATCATGGGCTAATTTTCATTTTTGGGTGAACTATCCCTTTAACTGTTGTATTAAAATCACCCTCGCAGCACTGTCAAAGGGGTCATGAGTTGAGAAATCACATTTTCCCTAAGGTCATTGTGCGATAAAGCTATCCTGTAAGTTTCAGAACTCAAAATTTCCTTGTAAGTCAAACAGCAGTCCTGAAACCAGCAGGCAAAAATGTCAAGAAAATGGGAATGTATTACATGTGAAGTATACAATAACACCGTGTCCTAACTACACGCGACGCCGCGACACGCGATAAAAGGTATCTTTTCCATGTTAATCAGAGTTTTTGTCCTAACCAGACGCGACGGTGACACCTTTATCTTTTTCATGTGAGATACCTGTTGAGATCTCATCTGCATGCTGTTAACCTGAACTTACCTGTGTAGACTGGATGACAGTCAGGTCATTGATGCGAGCAAACCCCGCTCCCATCGGCGCTCTCAAGCCAGCCGTTCCAAACGTCATCCTGGAGCACAACCTCCTCCTCAGCTCCACCACACGCCCCTCTCGCACCAGACACTCGATCTGTTCCCGTGTCTGAGGATTCTATAGGCACAAAAACTAAATGGTGTTCATTTCAATTTCATGCAAGTTTTTTGAAAGGGTTAGTTCGCCTAAAAATTTACAATTCTGTCATCATTTACTCACCCGCACGTCAAACCAAAACCAAACCATACTATTAAAGTCGTCATGAAATAAAAATTTACCATTCGCATTTTTACAAATCAGCTGCCTCATCTTGGTTCGTGGGAGGCTCATATAAATATGGGGTGATTCCTTCTGGAAAATTTGGCTGCTCGTCCTCGTTCTTATCGCCGGGTTCCTCGATTAAAAATTCTTCATGGGAGGATAACGGTAGTGAGTCCGGGTAGAGAAATCCTCCACAACTGACTGTAAACTGGCATTCAAATATGCCACCATTTTGTTTTAGCAACAAGTTTTTTGAAAGGGTTAGTTCGCCTAAAAATTTACAATTCTGTCATCATTTACTCACCCGCACGTCAAACCAAAACTATAAGACTTTAGTTAATCTTCTTAAAGGGATACTCCAATTTTTTTGGAAATAGGCTCATTTTACAACTCCCTCAGTTAAACAGTTGAGTTTTACTGTTTTCGAATCCATTCAGCCGATTTTTTTTATATTTAGAAGAATATCAGTAACCAGACAGTTTCTGGTCTCATTGACTACCATAGTATATATTTTTTCCTACTATGGAAGTCAATGAGACCAGAAACTGTCTGGTTACTGATATTCTTCTAAATACCAGAAAAATCGGCTGAATGGATTCGAAAACGGTAAAACCCAACTGTTTAAATCTGAGGGAGTTGTAAAATGAGCCTATTTCCAAAAAAAGTGGAATATCCCTTTAACACAAATTAGAATACTTTCAATGAAACTTGAGAAGTATTTTACCAGGTAACCAACAAAACTTCAATCCAAAAAGGTTATAAAGGCATCATAAAATGATAAGCAGTTTAATCCAAGTCTTGTGAAGTTACAAACACTTAATATGATGAAGAGATTTAATTTAGATTTTTATTTAGATCTAAACAATAATTGAAACATACATAGAGTGAATCACATACGGTAAACATGGAAACTCAGACGTGTGTGTCTGAAATCCAACCAATGAAGTTTGTTCTAGCGTGAGAACGCACAAGCTTCAGTGTTTATGTGATGCACTCTATCTGTTTATATGTGAATGGAAGCCTAAATATGCTCAACACAAAGTGGTTGTGTCTGTGTCTCCTCACAAAACTTGGATTAAACCGTTAGATTTTTATGGAATCATTTTATGACGTCTTTTTAACCTTTTAGGAGTTTTGGTTACCTGGACAAATCATCTCAGGATTCATAAAAAATTTTATTTGTGTTTCTGTTTCAAAGATTAACCAAAGGAGTCATTTCAGGGTGAACTAACCCTTAATGCAACTTATGAAAACCTGAATCCATGCATAAACTTGATAATTTGTAATTTGGAAGGGATTTTTAAGGACAAACAGGATTCTTACACCGCAGGCCATAGCAAATGGTAAACTATTGATCAGATCAAAAATCAATAATGTGCTCGCATATAAAAAGTGGGCAGCACCAGACACTCTTCCTAACTTTTTTTGGATCAGTAATGAGTCAGCGCTAATCATCTAATCATAGAGTTTATTTCAACAGTCAGGATGGAAAATATTTTTTTTTCTGTTGCTTGAAAGCTTATCTCTGTGGCCTAGACTGACCAGGCTTTCAAATAATCCAAACATGTAAGCTAGCTGAGCCACCCAAATATGTGAATGCATGAATATCCGAATAGCTTTGGAAGTACACAATCACAAAAAGTACCACTTAAACAAATCATGAAAGGAAATGATACTTTCCGTATATTTTTGCTGAGCTAATGGCCTTTTATTACAACTGCCAGAACTGACAGCTGGTTGCTCTGTAGTGCACTACTATACACCAGTCATCCAGCGCAGGCCGAGTTTGACATTTGCAGGAAGAGGTCAGCCAGACACATGACTTTTAAATTTGCCTGAGCTAAAAAGAACAATTTAAAAAAAACAGCTGCAAACTGTACTTATATCCAAACAAAACAATGTGTATTTTCTGAGACTATCACTAAAATAGTTGTTAGCTGTTCCACATTCTCTGAAGGCTCAATGTTTAAAGCACAGGCTCCTTTGGCATCAAATCTCACTCTCTTTAAAGTACGCTAGAATAACGGATTGACAGGGACTATGACATTTAGGTAACATGATATGACATGCAGGATGACACTTACTTAAATGATACTTCAAAGTCTACCTGAGTTTTTGGTACCATGTTTTTGGATATGTATCATATAGAAGCATTGTATTTCTGAAAGAAACTTAGAGAACCAAGTTAAGATACCATGAAGCATCGATTTTAGTTTCGGAAATCTTATTTCATCACTGTGTGATGGTACAGCCACATTACTTTTTATGGTGGCAATAGCCTACCATGCTTTATGTAGACAAATACCATAGTACCATCTGTTACAAAAGAGTTCTTGGGCAGTACCATGGTAAAGTGACCCTTTCATACCAAGATGCTTAAATGCATACACCACAGAATTTACATGGAACTCAAAGGTACTTCCAGGAATACTGGTACTGGTACATTATTTATAGTGTTTCAAATTACCATGGTATTACATTTGAATCTATCACATCCCAACACTTGAATGACTCAAGTTAGCTAACAATACTGCAATGCAGTGAAATGCAACGTGATATTGAACGATGCAGAGGCTTTATCTCTTAACTTTGCATTTTAGGGTCATATGACACGAAAATGAATAACATTTATGAGCAGATGCCCTAATAAAAAAATGCATGCACCGCCTCACAAAGACAAACAACATCTGAACAATATGAAAAAACTTCACAAAGCGCCTGCCAGTCCTAATAACAGTGTGATGAGGGTTAAAATTAGTTGCATTCTCACCTTATCCCAGGCCATCCATTGACTGACCGCTTTGTCCAGGACCAGGTCCCCGGTGCTACTGATACACTGTGAGTTTGCGTTGAGGTCTCCGTTAGACCCCATTTTAGCGGTAGATCCAGATTCGCACTTAAAATCCAGCTGCTTCAAACCGGTGCGACCGAATGTTATTCCGCACAGCGTGCTCGGAAATTAAAGATTAACGACGTGACGTCAACATTCAAATAGGTCACAGACTGACAGACAGACCTTCAAGTCAACTCATCGCGCTATGTGCGCATCAAAATAAGACTGTTGTATTGTTATACGTCACGTTAGTGTCCATGTGCACAGAGCAAATCGTATTTGAATCCAAATGTACTTGCTTTTCTGTTGACTAAAACAAATAATTCAAGACTAAACTCACTGCAGCTGGATAGTTTACTTTAGCATTTCCTCAGTAAGAGCAGCTAGTCTGCCACATGCAGTTAGCATTGATGGATTTAGCCGAAGTGCGTTTGTTGATCTGAGGCAGTTCCGTTATGAATGCACGTCACGTCACAAAATATTTTATATTTCGATATCTATAAGAGTGTTGATGTGGCTTCATATGACGTAAAAACTGCTGCAGCCATCAAACTTTTAGCTAAGATGTAGAGACAACTCATGGGTGGGATGGGCTTAGAAGGGGGATGCTGGGAAATTGATTTTTTCCCCCCTAATGTTTCCAACAAGGCAATAGAGAATAAATTGAGTCCAAATTAATTTAAAAACGGCATCTTGTGGTTGTTTCTAATGTTATATTGTAATATATAACTGAAATAATATTATTGATCTTTAAGATGACAAGTGTAAAAATATTTCTGAAATGAAAACTGAGGACATGTCCTATATTTCAATGGTCAAAATCATTGTCGGTCAAAATGTCATTAAAATCTCACTTTCTATAACACTTCAGTTTTAACTATGAAAGTGTGAGGTAAAATGTAGCTAAACATAATAACTGTTACAATAGAATTACAAGGCCAAGAGTGAAATGACTTTTTTGTTTGTCAAATTTTACCATTTTAAATTGAAAATATAGGCTAATCATTTTTAAGTAACTCATTACTGAATGTAACAAGAAACAGAAACAGAGCCATTTTCTAAATATTTGGCATACTATTAAAGTCGTCATGAAATAAAAATTTACCATTCGCATTTTTACAAATCAGCTGCCTCATCTTGGTTCGTGGGAGGCTCATATAAATATGGGGTGATTCCTTCTGGAAAATTTGGCTGCTCGTCCTCGTTCTTATCGCCGGGTTCCTCGATTAAAAATTCTTCATGGGAGGATAGCAGTGGTGAGTCCGGGTAGAGAAATCCTCCACAACTGACTGTAAACTGGCATTCAAATCTGCCACCATTTTGTTTTAGCAACACCAAACCTAACCCATATCAAACCTACAAACCCTACATTTTTTCTAATTTCAGAAGCCATTTCACTTGGATACACGTCACAACAAGGAAAAAAGGACAATCTCAACTTCCGTTTCATGACGACTTTAAGAGTGAATGTGTGCAAAGGCCTATATACAGTATTATTTGCAAATACTTAAAGTGGATTACAACAAATTCTAGGGTTTTGCCCATTACTAAATGGTTATAAAAATTAAAAATCTTTTAATGGCACAAAAAAAAAAAACATTCATCAACACACACATCAGTTATGGTAAATGGAAGCTCAAGCTTGCTTGTTTGATGCACGAGAACCAATGAGGTGCAGTCTCTTTTGAGGTTCATTCTCGTGTTACGCAGCACTTTTGAGCTTCTGCAAGAACGAATGAGGTTTATTCTTGTGTTATGCAGCATTTGAGCTTCTGCAAGAACCAATGAGGTTCATTCTCGTGTTACACTGCAAGTTTGTGCTTCTGCAAGACCCAATGCTGCACATTTTGTGTTGTGGGTTGGAAACCACTGCTGCTTCTTCTACCACCTCTCCCACTGTGAGGGAGGAACCACTCAGCCATGGGCATAGTCAACTAACTGAGTCAAAGAACAGGTGGTTTCTCCCTCAGGCATCAGTTGACAGATGGAAGGAACTATCCCACTCCAGAAACACAGAGTGACTGCTGCTCTGCCGTCGGTTAGAAACCTGGGTGTGCTCTTTGATATCAATCTCTCATTTGAAAATCACGTGTATCTGTTAAACCACATTTTTTTTCCATCTTAAAAATATATCTAAATTACGCCATATGCTCTCATTGTCAAATGCAGAACAATTAGTCCATGCATTCATTACATCAAGGCTAGATTATTGTAATGCTCTACTGGGTGGTTGCCCTGAACGCATAATAAACAAACTTCAGCTAGTTCAAAACGCAGCAGCTCGAGTTCTTACCAGAACCAGGAAGTATGACCATATTAGCCCGGTTCTGTCAACCCTGCATTGGCTGCCTATTAAATATTGTATACATTTTAAAATAGTGCTGATTACTTACAAAGTACTAAATAGTTTAGCTCCCCAGTACTAGAGCGAGCTCTTAACGCATCATAGTCCTTCATGTCAATTGCGATCTCGAAATTCCAGCCAGTAGATAATACCTAGAATATCGAAATCGACTGCTGGTGGTAGATCCTTTTCCTATTTAGGAAAATATTTTTTATTTATTTAGTTCTATAAAACAGGTGACACAGCTATGATTATCCATGATAATGTGTTTGTGGGAACATGGTGGAAAAGGGTTAGGGAGCCATGGGAACTGGAAAGAAACGCAAACCAAACTAGAAGGCAAAGCAAGTCAGTCAGTCACAGCAAGCATCCAGCCAAACAGTGTTACTTTCATTGACAAAAATAATCGACAAAAATTATTTGTCAGTGGCATTTTTTTTTTTGAGGAAAACGAGAAGATAACTAAATAAAACCTTGTTTTGAATGACAAAAAATATGATGAAAAACTATTGACATTTTCGTCAACGAATAAAAACTAGATGAAAATGTTAGACTGCACGCTGTGTGGGAAACCGCCAAGCCTTGAACATGTGCTGTCTTCATGTCAGGCTAGCCTGGCTGATGGCAAGTTTAGATGGAGGCATGACCAGATACTTGCCGTGCTAGCTGCAGGTCTGGAGGAAGAGAGAAGGAAGACCCACAAAAACACGAGGTCGATCAAGTTTGTTAGAGCAGGGGAGAGCTCTAGTGGGACATCCTCTGGCGCAGGAATTCTGGCATCGGCTACTGACTGGGACATGAGAGTTGACCTCCGGAGTCAGCTCAAGTTTCCAGAGGAGATTACTATCTCAACTCTCAGACCAGACATAGTTCTCTGGTCCAGAGCAACAAAACAGGTGGTGCTGCTCGAACTGACTGTGCCATGGGAGGAGAGGATAGAAGAGGCCCATGAGAGAAAGCGTGGGAAGTACCAACCACTCACCCAACAGTGCCAACACTGGAACTTGCCACTGGCATGGAACTTGCCAGTGGAAGTAGGCTGCTGAGGATTTCCTGGGCAGTCACTTTGGAGCACCCTGTCCAGACTTGGAATAAGAGGTCCCAGCAGGAGACGGCTTATGGCGAACATCACAAGAAGAGCAGAGACAGCATCAAGATGGCTGTGGCTAAAGCGCTCTGTTCGATGGAACAACCCACAGGGTAGGGAGGGAACATAAAAGAGCACTGGTAGTGGAGCCAGAGGGGCCGAGGGGGCTGCCCCAGGACGCTGGGGTTAGCTGTCAAGCCCTCTGAAGGTGTTGTGGGTTAATTGACGAAACACTGTTGAAGGAGGGTACCCACCTGATGACCCGAAGAAAGCACCTTGGGCCTACACCACAAAGCTCAGTAGGTCGAACTTGTAATGTGCGAGTGTTGGCCATCACCTCAAATATGCGGCTGGGACTTCACCCAGCCATTGAGGTGAGAGCGATGAACCCATCGTATGTCAGACTTTCCCATCTGGAAACCCAGTGACTACTAGGAAAGACTAGTTGGCAACCATGAAAGGATGGTGACAGCAAGGAGAGACTGCTGGCATCTGGGGAAGACCAGTTAGGGGTGTGGCGGCTTGGCAGGCCAAAACACATCTTCCGTGAGGAGGAACCCAAACCCTCGCTATGAACAAGTATGTGATAAGATACCCCCAAGGTCGGGCGAGAGCGGGGGAGGATGATCGACCTACAGGACGGACCATGGCAACAATCTCGGAAAGGGAAAATCAGATTTTGACACAGCAGGACGGTACAGCTGTGGTTTGCACATGTGGGAAAGTTTGCAAGAATACGAAAGGCCTCAAGATCCATCAGGCAAAGATGGGTTGCCTGCGTCCCAGTAGTGTGCAACGCACAGAGCAACCTGGTGAGACGGAGGAGAGGCTGGGACAGGTGGCCAACCACAGTACCCAGAATCTCCAGGCACACAGCAGAGAGGGCGCGGGCAATACCATTTCAGATGTACCTCTGAGGGCAACACCAGGGCAGAATGGGAGCAGCCAGCAGCACAGCCAGAAGGCAGGGAAGCAAGCAATCAACTGGCCGGCAGCGCATGCAAGGAGGGATTGGGACCGATTTGACCGGGAAGTGGACGAGGTGTTGGAGCACATTCTGGCGGGGGATCTGAACCAGAAAGTGAATGCAATGGCAAGTATTATCTGGAACATTGGCGCTGAACGGTTTGGAGTAAAACAAATGAGATCTTGCCAATCAACACCTGTACAGCCGAGGGAGAATCGCAGGATTAAGGAGATCAAACAACTTCGCGCTGATCTCCGGAGGCTCAGGAAGGCTTTCAGGCAAGCTGAGGAGGGGGACAAACCAGCTTTGAAGGAAATCCGGGACAACCTGAGAGAGCGCATCAAAACCTTATGCCAAGCAGAGTACTACAGGAGAGACAGAAGACGGCGGGCAAAGCAGAGGGAGCAGTTCACTAAGAACCCGTTCGCCTACCTGTCTAAGCTCCTGGGGGACAAAATATCGGGTCAACTTCAGGCATCAAGGGAAGAGGTAGAGAAGTATCTCTCAAGCACACACAGCGATCCAGGAAGGGGCACTGAACTTCAGATCAAAGAGACCGTGATGAAACTTGGGGGATCAACTAACAAGTTTGCTGACCAAGAACCCTCATGGAAGGAGGTTAATGACTTTCTCAAAAGGGCAAGGGCTGGCTCAGCACCGGGACCCAATGGGATTCCATACAAAGTGTATAAGCAATGCGAGCGGCTGAGAATGAGACTATGGAAGCTGTTGAAGGCAGTGTGGAGGGTGAATCGTCTTCCAGATGAGTGGCTCATTGCAGAGGGGTGTTTTATCCCCAAAGAGGAAAACTCATCGTGCATAAAGCAGTTCCGTACCATCTCCCTTCTGAATGTGGAGGGTAAGATATTCTTTGGAATATTAGCAAGCAGACTCACCACTTTTCTGCTGAGCAACAAGTACGTATATCGACACCTCAGTACAGAAGGGGGGAGCCCCAGGAGTTCCAGGGTGCATCGAGCATACAAGCGTCATCTCAAAGATAATTGAGGATGCAAAACGCAACCATGGAGATCTTGCAGTCGTGTGGCTTGATATATCCAATGCATATGGAACGGTCCCTCACAAGCTGGTGGATCTCACTCTGCATGCGTACCATGTCCCAGGGAAAGTCCAGCACCTCCTGTAGGAGTATTTCAACCGTTTCAGGATGCGATTCACCTGTGGGAACTTTACCACCAGCTGG